CATCTGGCGATCTTGTTTTTTGCAAAAAATCCAATAAGGTGTCAGAGACATGGCTCCCCATTGATGGCGAGGAGGATTGGGTCGGAGTATTTTCTACGGGTAAGTTAGTTCTACGAGGTAAACGTTTCAAGACAGCCTCTGGATTATATGGGAAAATTCCACATGCACGGAATCCGGACAAAATATTTTGACTTGAGGTAGCATTCATTGAAACCAATGCCTGTTGTAACAGTCGAGGAAAGTCAGACTTTTGGAATGGTCCCTTTCTCTTCATTTTCCATTCTGTGAGTATGGATCTCCAATGTTTCTTTAATGGTGCAAAATATGCAACGTCTAAAGGTTGGCATAAATGCGTTGAATTTGGAGGAAGCAATATAAATTTGATGTCGTGTCTTTGGCACTCCTGTATGACATCCAAAGTGATATGGCTTGAAAGGTTATCACCTATTAAAATTTTATTGCCTTCTTTATGCCTAAAATAGGGCATTGCTATTTGGCGAAACCACTCCACGAACGTCGTAGACTCAAACCATCCGCTTTTGCTAATACTGTAGCGACTACCAGGAGGCCCGTCTTGTTCCCACTCTTCATATCTGTGCTTTGCTTTGTACACCACAAACGGGGGGTAGGAGTTCACCAGAAGCAGAGGCAGCCATCATTACACTAATATTGGTTTTTGAGGAATCAATGATCCGGTCACAGTGTTTGGATCCTCGTTTGCAGACGACTTTAGGTTTTCCGGGATCGTCACTAAAATTTGTCTCGTCGTAGTTGACGATGTTTTGAGCTGGAACCCCTTCCATTGATTTTTGTAGCTCCAGAAAATATTCATTAATTGTCGCATCAGTAACCTGAGCCCTACTTCGCTTGATATTTTGAGTCAATCTGGTAGTGAGGACTTTATGTCTTGAAAGAAACATTTTAGCCCAGGTAGTTCCAGGTAGATTGTTTTTCCATTGCCTCACCCTTCTTCCTTGCCTCGTTACATATTGCTGCACAATTTGCCGAATATCAAATTCCGTCAGCGGAAAACCCCACTCTGCTGAAACTAATACAGCTTCAACAAATTGGCCTTCTTCTTCTTGTGATAGAACCGTCTGCCCTCCATGTGTTTTTGTGTGTGTGCCTTTAATTTTGTCGTGGATTGTTGATTTTGGAATAGAGTAGCGGTCAGATGCCTGCCTCACAGTTAATTGACCTCCTCTGACATCTCTAACTGCCCTTTCTAATTGTTTTGGGTCATAATTTATGTAATTTCGGGCACCCAGAGCCCGCTTGTAGACCCGCCCCATTGTCCGAAGTCACCCTCGATTTGGTTGACTTTTAGGTTATTTCTCTGTAAAAAAAAAACGACAGCTATTTTTTTTGTTCTAATTTGGTACAAACATTATTTAAACATCATATTTCAATAAAACATAAACCAAAAGTTCGAGTAATAACAGGTAAAAATCGTACAGTGATTACTTTTTCGATATTACAAAAACCGTTAAATCAGTGGCCGTTACAAAATTTCAAATACATCGTAAATACTTACGCGCTGCCGCAACAAATCCTCTCAGTAGTCATGGGCATACTGGCAGACAAAGTTCTCCCATGAAATCACCCGGCTCAACAAACAGGGTTGTCAGCTTTAGCCAGAAAAGAGCGAGCGCTACCTGCCGTCCGAAGTCACCCGCGCTGTCCGAAGACACCTCATTTTACGGTACGGTTTTAACTGGACTTCAGGGAAATGAGTGCTTTGTTTACCTCGATGATCTAATTGTCGTTGGATCAAATGTTTCCGATCATGAACAAAAATTAAAACTAATATTTCAGAGATTGTCTCAAAATAATTTAAAATTACAACCTGATAAATGTGAGTTCATGAGTTATTTATTTAGGTCACAAAATTTCAGAAACTGGCGTTCAGCCAGATGAAAAGAAAATCGAAAGTGTTCTAAATTTCCCAATGCTCCAAATCTCAAAAAAATATTAAACAATTTCTAGGTCTCGTAGGCTACTACAGACGATTTATACCACCAAATTTCGCAAAAATAGCAAAACCATTGACAATTTTATTGAAAAAAGACTCAATTTTCTATTGGAATAAAGAGCAACAAGACTCTGTAGACGAATTTAAGAGTATTTTAACAAAGGCTCCATTATAACAATTCCCAAATTTCAATGAGGAATTTACCTTAACAACCGACGCATCCAATTCCGCAATTGGATCAGTTTTGTCGCAAGGTGGACCAAATAACGATCTTCCTATTGCTTATGCTAGCCGTTCGCTAAATAGAGTACAGATTTCATATTCATCTGTGGAAAAAGAACTATTATCCGAAGTTTGGTCGGTGAAGCATTTTCGTCCGTACCTTTATGATATAGGAAATTTAAAATTGTTACAGATTGTAAGTAGGCCTTTGACCTGGCTATTTAATTGTAAAGACGCAATCTTCGCGATTGGTTCGTTGGAAGCTTACGTTAAAGGAATATGACTACGAGATGTGTTACAAACCAGGTCGTTTAAATTCAGTAGCCGACGCCCTATCTAGAAATCCAGTATTACATATTGATTTTCAAGAAAAACCATATGGCGATTTTGTTCGATTCCATTATCAAAATCGATATTTAATCGATTATCCTATAATTAAGGAAATATATTCAAAATGGTTCCAAATATATTGCTATTATCAAAAGCTTTTGATGAATCCAATGCTCATTATGAAACGTTGAATCAAACATACAACTTAAAGAAAAATCAATGTAGACACATATGTTCTAGTGACTCATTTAAATCATTCTGATAAACCATCTCCTAAGGATATATTTTACGCTCTTAAAAACTTAAAGGTGAAAATCACTGACCCAAATACTACTTTTTACTTAAAAAATCTAAGATCTTACAACCCTACTAATAAACACGATATTCTAAATGAGATAATTTTCTACGTATTTGATAATAATCAAAAAATCATTCTGGTAGACTCAGATAAAATTAAACCAAATACAAAAGAAGAAATTGCCGAAATTCCAATGGAAAATCATTCTACCGACAGATTAGGGAAGTTTATAAATGGCCCTGTATGAAAAAAGATATCAGAACGTTCATAAAAGGTTGTATCAAGTTTCAAGAAAATATAGTAAATCGTCATTCAATCAAAGCTCCAATGCAAGTTAATTGTACGTCTAATTGAGAAAATCTTTTTAGATATTGTAGGATCTCTACCAGTAATAGAAGCAGGAAATAAATTTATTTTAACACTGCAGGATGACCTTTCCTTTTCATACGCATTCCCAATCATGAGTCAAAAACCATCGCTGACAAGTTCTGTAAATTTATAACAATTTTTGGATTACCAAAAACCATTGTGACAGACAATGGAACCGATGTCACGTCCAATCTACTTAAGGTGGGTTTATACAGCACATAACATAACATAAGAAATAAGATAAGATAAGACATAACATAATATAATAAATAAGAATTTTGTGGCGTTTATACAGAAAATAACATAACATAAGAAATAATTTTTAACCAATCAGCTGGTACGTGTACTTATGTAAACTCTACCGAAAACACTATATTTGATCCAATAAATCCAAATAAGACATAAAAGTTAAAAGTTAACCAACTTTTTTATTTCTGTTATGTTATTTTCTGTATAAACGCCATAAGGGGTTTCCATAAGGTCAACTTTTTATCTTATGTTATGTTGTAGGGTTGCCAGATTGAAATATCTACAAATCGGGTATACCAATCAAAAAGCTGTTAAAAAATCGGGACGTTGAAAAAAAATCGGGACACTTTTTCTTTAAAGGAATAATTTGATATAAAAATAATACTGAACAATAAAATTTCTAATAAAATTTAAAAATAAACTGAGAAATGTTCCACAGAAAGAGAGAGTGGTCTAGTCAGCACTGGACAAATTGGGGCTTAAATAATGAGAAAAGGGCTAAAATCTGGATAAAATCGAAAATATGAAACAAACCCAAACTAAATTATTTCCAAAAATGTTCACCTTTTATTAGTAAGAATCGAAATGGACAAAAATTCCATTTTTTTACAACAGAAAAGAACCTGGATATCTCCAGACTCGGGACAGTATAATATCTCACGAAATAGACTATCTACTTGCTTTGTAGATAAATCTTCTAACAGATCCACCACATGCAGTGATTATCAATGACGATTATAGAGTTCTGAGAAATAAAATCAAACTCGGGGTTAACAAGTAGTTACAATTCAAAAATAATAAGTAATAAGTAAGTAGGTACTTCTAATTTTTTCTAACTTTTAAAAGGATTTCGTAAAATCGGGACATTTAGCGTCCCGACGTATAGTCCATCGGGACACGGGACAAAATCTCCAATATCGGGACTGTCCCGTTGAAATCGGGACGTCTGGCAACCCTAGTTATGTGGCTGTATAAACCCACCTTTAAAGAAGTTAATAGTCTTTTTAAAATAAAACATATTACCATGTCAGTTTATAGACCTCAAAGTAATGGAGCTTTAGAACGCTCCCATTCTACGCTGAAATATTATTTAAAACATTTTACCAATAAAAGTCAAGACAATTGTGACGAATTTATTTAAACTGCCATGTTTTCGTATAACACTAGTTCATTCAACTACTCAATTTACACCCTATGAATTGGTGTTCGGCCATAAGCCAATAAAATAACAAAAGATCCAGAATTCCACTACACCTACCTATACCAAACAACTTAAGTTGAGATTAAATAAATCGTTTCAAATTGCTAGAGAAAACATTATCAATTCTAAAATGAAATCCAAAACCTACTACGATAAAAAAGTTAATGATTTTAATTTTTCTGTAGGCCAAGTTTATGTCCTAGATAAAACTTTAGGGCCCGGAATAAGTAAAAAACTTTCCCCGAATTATAAGTGACCATATAAAATAACAAAAATAAACTCGAATAATTCGGTTCTCTTAAAAATAAAAAAAGGGCTAGTTTCATACCACAAGGACTTAATAAAATTATTTGTTTCAGACAAAAAAGAAGCTGATACATTACACGCTATGTGCTCTTCTCATAATTACGATGTGTCGCGCCCACCTATCGCACACGGAGGAGCAGGTTTATTAGATAACACCAATTCATAACTAAGCAGGCATCTTTTACCAATCTCTAGGCACTGTAAAATTATACGATGATTATTTTACTCTCCTTTCATTTTCAAATATCTCCTTTTTTATTCATAAATTCCGAGTTGTGGAAAAAATATATGCAAAATCAAAAAAAACATATATGTCGCATGATTCCAATCTTGAAAATAATAAAATATATGTCTATGGTTTCAACTGCATTTAAATGTTTGTTCGGTACACCAGATGCAGACGAGCGCAGCATGTTGTTAGAATTTTCCCATTTTAACGTTCGGTCTCTTAACACCTCATTTGATCCTTTTCACGCCGCCATTGAAGATATGTCCTTGGACGTAGTGGGGCTATCCAAAACCTGGCCGAGTTCAGATATTTCTGACACACCATTTCATATTGAAAACTATGTCTTAAAAAGACATGATCGATCTGGTCGGGGAGGCGGGGTGGCTTTTTATGTAAAAAGCACTGTTAAATTTAACCCATTAAAGCCTGATTTTTTTTTTCGCATATAAACTGCAAAAACTAAGGAGATATATAGCCTGTGGAGTAGAAAGTCATTGAAAAAAGAGTTTTTGAAAGATATTTATTAGAAAAAACATACTTTGAACATGTGACCATTTGGTTACACTAGGTTAATACAATACCACTGTCTTGATAATATGTTATTTTCTATGAAAAATGGCAAAACACTCAATACATAATCCAAGATCACATTTCTGGCATTGCGTACGGCCAACTGAAGAACATCCCTCTCCTGCGCACCTTCTGCGCTTCTTATTGGGTACGGGTACAATGAGATGATTTATTCGGTCGTCAGAAATTCTATTGAGGGTTACGCTATTTTTGCTGGTTGTTGGTCTACCGGGTCTCATAGGAGGATTTCCATAATTATTGAGGTAAGTAGTTGCAACCTCACGACGAAAATTCAAATTTGTGATTGGCCTTCCAGAAGACTTGTACAGGATCCACGCATTATGCAATGCCGCATCAATTAGCCAGGTAAGTATAGGCCAATACCACTTTTTACTATGAATGTTTATTCGATATCTGGATAAATCTTCATCCATCCGATCCGTACCACCCATAAATTTATTGTACATCCCCACTACATGTGGACGTGGTACTTGTATAATCTTCTTCTCAGTCTGTGAATAGCGCTTTACTTGCTGAATAGGATTTACGCCAAACGAAGTAGATGCCATTGTTACAACAGCATTGTCCATCCATCTAGTCAACATTATGCCATCTTCCTTGTCAATTTTTGAAACAAGATACCCTCGATTTTTCTTCGACATTGCTTTTTTATCTGTAACGGGGAAATCTTTGGGGATTCGATTTTCTCTAACAGTTCCCGTAACTCCATACCCTCTTTCTTTCAAATATGCTAATAAATTGAAGCCAGTGAAAAGGTTATCCACATATATTTGGCAAGGAAGTTTCTTTTCAGGTAAACTGTCTAACATCCAAACAAGAGGAGCGTTTGGTAAAGCGTTTGGTAAAGCTGCTACCAAACGCAGCTTCGTAATCATCGTTTGAAGTTGGACTTTTTCCCTGATAAATGTCAAAGTTGATCAGGTAGCTGTTTTCCGAATTCAAGCACCATATTTTGTACCCGAATCGAATTGGTTTTCCTCGGTTGAACTGCTTACAATGATGACGTCCATAATATTTGACCATTGATTCGTCAAAGTTCATATTTTGGGATGGTTGGAAATATTTTGAAAACGAACTTTGAAGCTTGCTTACAATTGGTCTCAATTTCCACATTTTATCTTTTGGGTCCATTTTAGTGTTATCTGCGCAGTGGAGAAAACGCATTATTTGAAAAAATCTGTCGCGACGCATTGCTTGTTTTATCACTTCGTTGGCCATATCATTACCAGAATCCCAATAATAGTATATTGTTGTATTAGGAGTAGAAGCTTTACTTTTTTGTGCTGAAGCAGTAGGTTTGCGAGCCGAACGTAGTGAGGCTTGCAATACTGCTGAAGCACAAAAAAGTGCTTCTGCTCCGTGTGCAACACGCTATTTTTTCTCCAAACAAATGGGGTAAGCTCGGGGGTAACTGAATTGTTAAGCGGCAGTAAAAGTACGAGCGGCACTAAAAGTACTTTTGCTGCCGCTCCAGCGGCACTAAAAGTACTTTAGCTGCCGCTGGGGTTGCCAAGCAGCATAGAAATTAAATTTCTACCACCTCGACAGGTGTTAACCTGCTGGATTTGCCTACCAGCATAGAAATTAAATTTCTGACATCTTGACAGAGATTAAAAAAGTGGCGTTTTTTTGACGTTTGGAGAAAAAAACGTTTTCCAGGGAGACTATTGTAACCTGAAATTATCATTATTCCCAGAAAACATTTCAGTTCATCAACAGCGACTTTCGGATCTGTACAATTCAAGAAAATAGCATATTTTCTTGATTCTTGCAATATATGCATTAGCATTTCATTATCAAAAAAAAGCTCGAATAATTCAATTGGAGATAAATCTCTAAACAGTGAATAGTCGGGTTTTGGAAAAGTCGACGAATGAATAAGATCTCCATCTATCCATGTTCTGTTGGTATACATCTTTGCCTTCAATGATTCGAGAAAAATATCTGAACTTTCCATATTATCATCCATGGGAATCTCTTCATTCTCCTCAGCATCTACTATTACATCATCTTCTTCTGCACGTATGCCAGAGGGCAGAGGTGAACTTTTGTCATTATTCGAAAAGCGAACTTCAGCACTAGCAAGTAACTGGCGACCAGACAAGTTATCCACCAATCCACCTTCATCGTCGTCAGCGGAATCCTCATCTGTTAAAATATTTGGGTCTGGAGGGCAAATATATATCTCGGATACTTCATTTTCGTCACTATAAGCTATATCCAAAGCTTTTTTCAGCGAAAACCCTCTCCTGGAAAAAAATAAATAAATCTTCTTACATTGACCTAGTGTGACAATACAGTAACAAGAAAACATATGTGCCCACAACAAACTAATTTTTAGGTTAGATGATTCAACAAATATTTCAGGGTGTGAATTCATTATTCAGTTAAATAATTTTTTTTCCTACGACCACATACGAAAATGACAAAATTCGCACTAGCTGGTTCTTTGGAAAGCGCTAAATATCACACGCGTGCTGAAAGTACTTCCAATAAGCCTGCTAAAAGTACTTCCAGCACATGTGTGGAAAATACTGGTGATATTATTTGTGATTGACATAACAATTTACTTTCAATACGTGGTTTGAAAGTACTTTCAGCACGTGTGTTGAAAATGAAAAGAAATAAAATAAGAGAAAATTGGTGTAAATCGGTTTTTGGTCGTAGGAAAAATGGTGTACATCACTTGTGAGAAAGCGTCTTACGTACACTCGTGTGATTTTCGCACTCGGCTACCGCCCCGCGCGAAAAAACACTCGTGTGAAATGTGTCACTTTCTACACTCGTAATGTAATATACTAATACAAAAAAAATTTCTGCTCGACGTACAATATAAAAAAAAATACTTACTCGAACCTGGGCTCCATATTTTCAACAAACACACATGTATCTCAAATTCAAAACAACGTTACACTTCCAATATTCAAGGGGAATGAATATAACTCATAAAAGTCACTACCAGGGACATCTAGTAGCGAACCATCCAACTAAATGAATAATTTCACCGATGACGTTCATTTCAGCAGTCTTTGACAGGGAGCGTGTTTGTGTGACCAAATGGTTACAATAGGCTTTGATGGGTTAAAGTTCTGGACGACATTGGAGGACCAGATGATGCCTTGGAGCAGCTCTGGATATCATTCAAGCATAACGGTGAGAGAGTGTGCCTTGGAATAGTTTATAGGCCGCCTAATTCTAACTTTCTCCAGGTGATTGCAATAATATCACTGTCCTGTTCTTAAATTTTCTATCTAAATATGGCTTGACGCAAGTTGTCACTGAACCGACTAGAGTTAATCCTTATTCTTATTCTAGAGCTTTAATTGACTTAATTGTTTGTACTTCTTCTGACTTTATAAGGGAACCTGGGGTTATTAACATGAGCGACATTTCTGATAATCACATGGTGCACTGCAAACTTAGGATTTTCAAAACAAAATCCAAACCATTTTTTAAGACATACAGAGATTTTTCAAACTTAAATTATGCTAGTTTTTTACTTGATCTAAATAACATTGATTGGGCTCATCTTTATTTACTAACTGATGTCGACAACCAGGTTGAATTTTTGAATGAAGTTATTTTAAATATATTTAATCTACGTCGGTGTCATTATGACACATTTAGCATTGTCATTTGAATGTCATTAGGTCCTTCATAATAGCACTAGTGCGTTTAAGAATTCATAATAACACCCAAATTTTGAAATGAAAAATATACAAAAAGAAAGTTAGTTGCCAGAAGAACCTTTTCAATAATGCTGTCTCTATATTCGAAGAGACACTTTCGAACTCAGAATCACCAATAATAATATTATTTTCCACTATAAAATTGAATTTATGGCACAAAAATGGACTCCAATATTGAAGCTGCCAAAGTCAAAATTCTAAAAACCAACAAGCAGGTTCTCGACTAGTACGGGCACCTGCTAAATTTCAAATTTTAATTTGAAAAGTTTTTGCTATTTCAAGGCAAATCAAATCTATTTGGACCATTGTAGATTAAATTTTGAATGATACACGTTCGATATGAACTTTATTAATGAAACTTGTGTAACTAAACCACTCGGCTAACGCCTCGTGGTTTAACGTTACACGCGTTTCATTATGGCGTTCATATCGAACTTGTATCATTAATAACTATAATCTCCATGCACCTATGAAAACATCTAGAATTACCAAAGCACCAGCGCCTTGGCTCACATACAATTTGAAACCTATGATCAAACTTAAACGCAAAGCTTTAACTAAATATAAAAAACAAAAGACCAATCAAACATGAGAAGAATATAAAAATCTCAGTAAATTTTGTTAACCTGCTGTTAAGTCAGAAAAGAGGGCGTTTCTTCAACATTTATTTCGTACTAATCCCAAAAATTTTTCTTCTTCTTCTTCCAATGCGTATCCACTAATGGATTTTTGCGATAACATTTTCCATTGCTTCTCTATTCCCT